ACCTGTGTTGTGCAATGCCGGTGGAGGACAGAAGAGGCCATCTGATCCCCCGGAACTGGAGTTAACCAGACAGTTGTTAGCTTGCCATGTGGGTGCTGGGATTCAAACCCAGGTCTTCTGCAAGAACAGTCAGTGTTCTTAACCACTGAGCCATCTCTCCAGCCCACAACTCATCATTTAAAAAAAAAATATTTTTATGAGTGTACTGCCTTCATGTGTGTAAGTGCACCCTTGTCATACAGTGCCTGCAGATGTCAGAAGAGGGCGTCAGATCCCCTGGAATTGGAGTTACAGATGGTTATTAGCTGACATGTGAGTGCTGGGAATCAAACCCAGGTCCTTTGGAAGAGCAATTAATATTCTTAACCACTGAGCCATCTTTCCAGCCCCTGAAACTCAACTCATCTTAACACACACCTACACATGGTTCCTCCTGAGGACTTTATCCCAGTAAGTGGTCCTACTAGCTGTCCTGGTATATAATTAGGAGACCTGTAGATTAGCCCTGGACCATCTCTCTCTCTCTCTTTTAATTGATGCATCCTCCTGATTCTGTCAGGTCTGTCTGTCCCTTTCTCATTCCCATGTCTTTATGTCTTGCTTTCTTCTACTACTGCAGCAGCCTCTTGCTCCCAGCATTCTCCTGGCTGATTTGTTCCGTACTCTTCCATAAGTGCACGCACACAGGCAAGTAAGAGTGTCAGGATCAAGTCCTGGGTCCTTACCCCTTAAATGCAAGGTTTTCCCATAGCTTCTTGATATGAGTCTTTTTATTTCTCACCTCTACCTTACCCCTACCTCTGACCCCTAACAAACATTTTGTAGTTTCTTTCTTCTATGCTATATGTCTTCTTTTTTTTTCTTGAAAGTGCCTCTATTCCTGACTTTCTGGTAAATTTTTCCTGTTCCCATATCAAGGTAGTGGTGCCTCATTTGAGAACTTTTTCTTGTCATGCCATTGCTATCTTTATACCAGCTCCACTCCCCCACCCCACCATGTATCTTACAGACCTCCATTAGCATTGGCCATCCTGTCATTTCAATTTCTAGTTCCTCTGGAGAACTAGGAACTCCCTGGGGGTGGGCCCTGAACCATACTTAGCACAGGGAAGGACAAGGCCGTGGCCTTAGTAAAGATTCCCTACATGTGTGAATGAGGAGAGATTTCAACAGAAGTTCCTGGATGGCCTCATCTCCTGGGGACAGGCCCAGAAAACCCACATGGAAATTGTGGAGAAACCTCTAGGTTACCTTCTACCCTTGCCTTCCTAGAGAGAGTGTAGTGAAAGTCATTGATACAATGTAGACAGCACCAGCTAATTTTATTGAATTTATTTTTATAGAATATCAGAGGAGAAACCTGAGGTACAGAAAGGGTATGATCTATTAGATGTTAGAGGTGGATAGCACAATCCACAGGCAGCCAAGCAGGGTGGGAATCTATGTACTCTGTCTTTACTGGCTCTTTCAGACACTTCAGCAACATGTGATTTACAAAACTCCCTTTTCAGAGCTGCTCCCTTTTCAATGCTTTGTTGCATTGTCTTGCCAACAAAGAGCTCTTTTTTCAACCTGGGCACCCTCCTGAGCTGGGTGGGGTGCTGTACTTGGGAGGTGGAATCAGGAGACTGGAGTTCAGAGTCACTCTTAGCTACACAGTGAGTTTGACAACAGCTTTGGTTACATAAGACCCTGACTCATGCTGGGTGTGGTGGCACACGCCTTTAATTCCAGTACTCAGGAGGCAGAGACAGGTGGATCTCTGTGAGTTCAAGGCTAGCCTGGTCTACATAGTGAGTTTCAGGCCAGCTGGGGCTACAGGGAGACACTGTCTCAAAAAGACCAAACAAACAAACAACCAAATAAATAAATAAATAAATAAACCTCACTCAAACAAACAAAAAAACCCTACAAAGAACCTATTTACTTCCGTTTATGATACATACATACCGTGTGAGGAACTCTCTACTTCATTATGTCTTGTATGCAATGTGCTATGAATTGCAAGTAAGACAGATTGGATCTTTTCTGTTGTCTGGTAATTTAGAGTGTTCAGCTAAATGATACTGAGTTGGAGAGAAATGGCTTTGATGTGCAGAAGTTGAATGTGTGGTTAGGTAGGACTTAAATATTATATGATTCATTCATTCAGTAATCCTTGCTGAGCCACCTGTCTAACTGGGCACTGTAAAACTGTCATGTTCCCTCTTCTCTTCAGGGTCACAGTCAAGTCAGGGAGTCAGGTGTTAATCCGAGATGCCTGCAGAAGAAAATGACCCATGTCACAAGTGTATCAGAGGCCTTGTTAGAAAACTGGAAAGGCTCTGGAGGACCCAAGAGTTCCAAGGTTCTAACCCATATGACCCAGTCAATGCATTCTTTCCTCTGCCTGGGCCCTGTTTTTTTCTTCTATAAAATGACCAACGTTGTATTGATTTGTCTCTTAGTTCCTTCCAATCTGCTCTCTTTGAACTGTGAAGATGCTTTTGTTAAGATGAGACAGCAGACAAAGCCAAAAGTACTCTTTTGTGTGTATGGATTATCAAATAATAACACTAAATGTTTCATTTATTATCTCTGTGAGCAGAGAGTTCAGGCTCAGAATGTCCACACTGACGGTCATGGAAATCTGCCATGACAATGCACTTAAAACTCACAGCAGAGCTTGGTATTTTGTAGATCTCCTTACTGTCATTAGGTTGTTCTGACATTTGAAGGCTTAGATTCTTTTTGTTCTGTGATCATAAAAATCATCAGCCCCCTTTTCCTCAATACCTAGATTTGATATATATGAGGGGAATAATGATCCCAGACGCCTTGATAAATCCACACAGGCACTGATAAGCAAGGAGGCAGCATTGTTGAACATTTGCTATATGTACTATGCTGCTAGGGTCTAGTACAGACATGAATAAACAGTAGTTCCTGCCTTAGAGGTGCTTATGGCTAGAAGGTAGAAATTAAATGATCTGAGTAAGAGACCACTATAGGACTGGAGAGATGGTTCAGTGGTTAAGAGCATTGACTGCTCTTGCAGAAGACCCAGGTTTGATTCCCAGCACCCACATGGTGGTTAATAACTGTAACTCCAGTTCCAGGGGATCTGATGGCTTCTTCTGACCTCCACAGGCACTGCACAGCATGGGTGCACTTACACACATGCAGGCAATACACATTAGAAATAAATAAAATATTTAAAAAAAAAAAAAGAAAGAAACCATTAGAAGTGCTACCATAGGACTGCAGAGATTGGCTCAGTAGTTAAGAGTCTTGCTGCTCTTCCAGAAGTCCTGAGATCGATTCCCAGTACCCAAGGAGAGCAGCTTTACAATGGCCTGCAACTCTAGCTCCAGGGGATGTGGGGCAGATGTCTGACCTCTGTAGGCGCCCCCACACAGGTGGCATATGCTCACACAGACACACATACACATAAATAAAAAATAATTTAAATAAATCTTAAAAAATAAAAGTGCTACCATAGAAGCTTATCTAGGATTGGGTATGAATTAAGAGTATTACTTCTGCTGGGGCATGGTGGCACACACCTTTAAACCCAGCACTTGGGAGGCAGAGGCAGGCAGATCTCTGTGAGTTCGAGGCCAGCCTGGTCTACATAGTGAGTTCCAGGTCAATATGGGGTGACCCTGTCTCAAAATACCAAAAAAAATAAAAAAAAGAGTATTACTTCCATAGGCCGATAGGCTGTTGGGAGGGGAGATCACAGGGTAGTATGGTTTAAGAAAAAGTCTTTAGGTTGCATCAGAGGATTTGGGCTGTTAGAGTCTCAGCGTTCTGCTCATTTGTCTCTGTGTGTTACCTTTATACTTCTTTTTTTGTTGTTATTTTTATTTTCTGTGTACGAGTATAATGCTTGCGTGTAGGTTGGTGCATCAGTGAGTAATTCCTTCAGAGGTTAGAAGAGGGCATCAGATCCCCTGAACTGGAGTTACAGATGGTTGTTAGTCATCATGAAGGTGCTGGGAATTGAATCTGGACCCACTGTAAGAACAGCCAGTGCTCTTAACTGCTGAGCCATCTCTCTAGCCCCCAACTTTATACTTCTTTGAGCCTGAATGGTATATGATTTTTGTACCCAGGCTGATTCCAAATTACTGAGCTTCAGTGATCCTCCCATCCTGTCTCAGCCAGCTAAGTAGCTGGCACTGTAGTACATTCCACTGCACCTGGTTTGGCCCGTCTAAATAAAGAAACTTTTATATTACACACCCTCCATGGTCTCTGTGTGTCTGAGCCTTTAAGGGAGGACCATGTTCCTGAATAAAGTGGATGTTAAGCCACTTGTAATTGCTAAAGTGAGAATGAATTTCAGTGAAGTTATATTTCACATTAAACCAGTTAGGACTAGGCAACCTTACAAAAGTTTTATATCAGCCTGGCAGCCCATGTTGCCCTGGCAGATCAAGTGTCAATGTGGTGCCTACCTCTTGTGTGGAACAGCAGCTGTGGTGGTAGAAGAGGTGGCAAGATTTCCATGGCCCCTGAACACATGACTTCTTACTCAGCACATGTGGAGTATATACCCTGACTCAGCTGTGCCCATGGGGAGTGTATTAGTCACTTTTCTGTTGCTGTGATAGAAACACTGACCCAAGCAATTTATAGAAGGAAGAGTTTATTTGAGCTTACTGTTCTAGGGGAATTACAGTCCATCATGGCAGGGAGGCATGGTGGCTGGAGGTGGCTGGAGCAGGAGCAGCAGAAGCTAAGCTCTCACATCATCACGCAGGCACAGGAAGCAAGAGAGCAACTGGAGATCTGGCAAGGCTTAAGAACTCTCTAAGCCCACCCCCAGTGATGTGCTTCCTCCAGGATAGCCACACCTTCTAAAACCTCCCAAAACAGTGCCATCATCTGGGGACAAAATGTCCAAACACTTGGAGCCTATGGGGGACATTTTCATTCAAATCACCACAGGGAGGAAACCATAGTGGTAACAGCAGTCCTAACTCTGAACTTTTCCCTTTCCTCCCTTATACCAGATTATATCATGTGGGCAACCTGCTGCAACTGGTTCTGCTTGGATGGACAGCCTGAGGAGGTCCCACCACCACAAGGAGCCAGGACGCAAGCCTATTCCAACCCTGGGTACAGCTCCTTTCCTTCCCCAACAGGCTCAGAACCAAGCTGCAAGGCCTGTGGGGCCCACTTTGCAAACACGAGCCGGAAGGTGAGTGCTGCTCTGCACTGTGGACCCAGGACTCCAGGCCAGCAGGCAGCTGGCTGTGCTGTGAGGGACTGCCACCTGGCCGCTGCCTGTGCAATACTGGGGGTCCAGGCCTGTTCTAGTCATAAGAATGTTAAGAACATTCAAGTAAAGGCAAAGCATCTCAGCACAGACCTGGAACCAGGGGACCTGGACCTGAACTCAGACATACCAGTTTCACTGCGCACTAGCTGTGTGACTGAACCTTTCTTGAAATGCAGTTTCCCCATCTGTGAAGTACCCTATCCTAATGTTGTGAGAATAAAATGAGGTAAGCTATTAAGGGTACCCAAGCACTGTGCTGGAGATGTAACAGGCACCACCATTGTTAGTTCTGTTAGCTGCCACATACAAGGCCTGACTGCAGATTAACCTATTCTACATTATCAAAAGCAATGTCAGAGATCCCAAGAGGCATCAAAACTCTAGCAGACAACTGGAGCCTATTCACTATAGTGGATTTCCTTTGAAATGCTTGGGGTGGGAGCAGGAGCAGAAGCATTGGCAGGCCCTCAGGCAGCACATTGTCTCTGCAGAGCAGGGAGGTTTTCGGCCCAGAATGATTGGTAGGATGTGAGGAGGGAAAGATGATAGTGGAAAACCAGGAGGAAATACTTTTTAAGCTTTCCACTGTGTGTGGGAGATAGATTAAGAGTTTTAGCCAGTTACGGTGGCACATACCGGTGTGGCAAGTTTGAGGTCACTCTGAGCTATGTAGTGAAACCCTGTCTCAGACAACAACAACAAAATAGTTAACCTTTTTATTTCATTTAGGCTTTTCTTTCTTTTCTGTGACCCAGGCTGGTCTAGACCTTACTGTGTAACCTAACTGGCCTCAAACTGGCAATTCTCCTGCCTCAGCATGTCAAGCCTGGCTTAGATTTTTATTTTGTATCATTTAACCCTCACAATAACTGTAGAAGCACATCAAAATATTTATGCTTTTCCCTATAAAAAGCACTTCACTATTACATAGCTAAGTAGCTCAGCCTAGGATTCAAATTCAGGTCATAGACTCCAAAGCTGCCCACAAAGAAACATGTGGAATGTTGAACTGAAAATGGCAGGTGACACCCTGGTTCACAGGAGCCTGGCAATGATTAAAGTGGGGAGCTTTTTCTCCTGCTGATTAGAAATAAGTATTGAAGTGCAGTTTACGCTAGGCATTGTTAGGCTTTGTGGGCAGGGATGAAGAAAGTTGTCCCTCCTGAGGGAGTTTGTAGCAGGGTGGGGACATTGAGGCAGAGCATACTGCAAGGTGAGACCAGAGAAAGATCGCTGAGGCATGAAGAGCGCTGTTGGGGCAGACAGATCCTAATTTGGATGGTGAAAGATGTTATTGGTACAGTATTTTCTTGCTCTAAATTACAAATTAATTTTGTGCAATTTATAATGAGTTTTGTGAATATTAAGAATGTTTACAAGTATTTTTCATTTGTAATTTCATGCTTAAGTGGATCAGTGTTTTTATCTTAAGTGTTTGGCATTTAACGGCCAGAGGCTTTTACAATGTCTTTTCTAGCAGTGATTACATGGATCCCACTATCCTTTTTTTTTTGTGGTCAGTATTTTCTGCATGCTCACTGACTGAAAAGCATAGATAACAGTAAAGACTTAAAGAGAATACAAGAAAAGTTTGTCAGCCAGGAGCGGTGGCACACACCTTGAGTCCCAGCACTCCGGGAGGCAGAGGCAGGCAGATCTCCCTGAGTTTGAGGCCAACATGGTCTACATAGTGAGTTCTAGGCCAGCTGGGGCTACAGGGAGACCCTGTCTCAAAAAAAGAAAAAGGTTTGTCCCCCAAAGTCCCCAGGTTTCCAGTCTTGGAGAAAGGGGGCAGGCTGCAATTTTGCTGCAAGCCACTTGTCCCATTTGTACTGGTAATACCCACCCGTGGTGTCACAGTGAACCTGACAGTTTCTGAGTGAGTGAGCTTTGGCATTCAGACTCTTTAAGTTGGTCCAGTTTGAGGAGGTGGGGGAGGATATGCTTGGAAACTTGGGTGCAGTATTCAGATTACAGAGTAGAAAAAGAGGAGTGGTTCTTTGGTGTTGAGAAGAGTCGAGATGGACTGGAGGAAAAAAAGAGTGAAAGGTGACCAATGCTTTCCTGTGAGTGTTTGCCTTAAGCTAAGTTTTATATAAATGATATCATAATATTTCAGTGGTTAGGAAACCGGGAAAGTGGGAGGGTGGGCCTGAGCAGTCCGGGGAACATGAATGAGGAGGCACTGGGGGAGAAAGATAAGTAGTGTGGTAAAGGGGAGAAAGCTGAACACCGTATGTTGGGTCCCCTGAGGTGGTACCTAGCTGAGGCCTGCTGCCAGCTCTTGATGCAAGTGTTTCAGTGCACTCTGAGGTGTCTGCAGCCTGGCACCTCCTAATTCATCTATCTTGCTATCTTGTTACTCAGCTGGCTTGATCCATTACTGGAATTTACACATACATTTCCTTTGCTCATTTTGCCTGTATTGTTGAGAGCTTTTATCCCTCTCTTTGTTCCCTCCTGCCACAACACTCCAGGGTTTTAGCTATGAGCCCTGTCTGTTCTTTCAGGGTCTACTTCAGATGCAGGCTTTGTTCAGAGCCCCTGACGTACACAGAAGTTGGGTTGTTCCTTTGCCTTCTGATCTTGTGTCCAGAAGCCGCACACATTTGAAGAAGACAGTGGTTTGGATCTGGCTTATTGAGCAACACGAGCTTCATCATTGTGTCAAGCTAGGCCTTGTCAAACTGCATTGACTTGAGTAATGAATGTTCCATGTCTGGACCACAGCTTTATGACACGGCAGACTCTTCATTCTCCCTGTCAGCCATCTTAAATGCATTTCATTTCCCAACAGGAAAGTTTTAGATGTGAGTGAACTCTGAAACTCCCATTTTCTACTTGCGTGGCCACAGGTCCCAGAGCTGTTCTTTGTTAGCACAGCCGTATGTCCTTTTCAGTCTCTGTATAGTTTACTACCCAGTTATAGCTGGGTAGAGAAGAAGGGGGGCTAGTGTGTGTTCCTTTGCAACACCTTCTAAGTCTCCGTGCCCAAACTGAATGGCAAACATTGCATCCTCTGGCTTCAACTATATGAACGACATGTAGACAAACACTAACTAGAACTCTCTTAACTGTGTGGACTTCACCACATATAAGGGTTCCTATGACCCTACCTTCAAGAACCTGAGCCTCAGGCAATCTTTTTGTAGCTGAATAGCTTTCCACAATTAGAAAAAAGAAGCAAAAACTTGTAAGTTAATGTAGTATGTAAGTCATCACAAAATGAAAAGCGTCTAACTTCCTCAGAGGATCGGAGAGGGTGCCATTGTGCCCTTGAAAGTGATCCTAGGGTGTTCAGGAGTTAGCTCTCTTGGGGTGGGTGACTTGCCAGTTGCTGGAGCAGAGCTCAGCCACATGTCACTCTGCTTGCACAGCCTGTGGGTGGAGCAGCCGTGGTGTGCTGACTGGGACCGTGGGAGTAGCTGCACCAGGCAGTGCCAGCTTTCGGGACAGGCACACTTATCTCTGAACTGAGACACTGTGTGCTTTCACAAAGCAGAGCATGCTCATGTCCAGGGCCCTCCTGTAATATCTAAATATTTAGCTTGGAAATGACCTCACGTACCACCTACTTCCCAGCACTCTTGAGTGGCCTTACTGGAGTAGGGAAGCCTGGCACCAGCTTCTGTGGAGAGGGCACTGACTAGGAAGTGTGGAATTGGAAAGCCAGGCCTCTGACTTGGCCTTATTGGCTGCTTATGTGTGACTCAGCAAGGCACAATGGCCAGATAGGATGAACATGACTGAGGGCATTAAACTCAGACTCCAGGATGAATCCTTGCTCTGCCTTTACTGCCTGGCCTTGAATGTCAAATGGGATCTCCCTGGTTCTTGGTTTCTCTCTCTGTGAATCAGGGAAGCACAATAACACTTTTCAAGGGACTTTGAGAATGAAATAAACCAGGTATTGCCCTAGTACCTCAGTAAGTTCTAGTAATGTCAATATTAATAACCACTATTTGGGCATGGTGGCATATGCCTGTAATCTTAGCACTCAGCAGGCTAGTTTGAGTAAATAGTGAGACTGTCCAAAGGCTGGAGATGTAGCTTACCTAGCATGCAAAAGGCCCTGTGTTCAATCTCAAGCAGTAAAAGCAAGACAAACAAAATAACAACAAAAAAAACCAGCCACCACTAACCTCCATACATTCACTTTCTTTCCTCAGCAATAAGCAGAAAGGAATGCAGTGTAGGAGTTGAACCCTACAGTTGAATCCTAGGCAGTGTTTCCTAGCAGGAATAATGAAAAGAGCCAACACTGCTGATTCATCCTTGTCAGATATGTCTCAGTGCGTTATTTCTTAATCCCCATGACTTGTGAAGTAAGTCCTGTCATTACCCCCTTTTTACGGGTAGGGAAGCTGAGCACCAGAGAAGCTGATTTAACACACCCTGGGTGACACTGTAAGAAATTGGAGAGGAAGACTTAAAAAGGCAGAGCTTTTTTATTCCAAAGCTGGTGTCTTTATTAATAGCTTCAGGTTCTCTGTGAGTGAAATAAATAAGCCTAAAATGAAATTATAAATGTAAATGACTGTCGTGTATACATATAGTATATAAAGGTATAATACATTATGTAAATGTCCAGCATCCTGTTAGTTACAGATACAGGTAGGAGGCCTGCCACCTGTGATAAAATCTCCAGTGTAGCTCACACCTTGGATATAGGAGACAGTGCAGTAAAGAGCTGCCAGACAAGGTCCCACCGGCTGTGGTGTAGTGGCCTTGCAGCTCCCACCCCATTCTCTGTCTTGTTCCCTCAAGCTGACATGTTTCCTTCTGCCTCTTGCTCTAAGCAGCAGACCTGCTTGGACTGTAAGAAAAATTTCTGCATGACCTGTTCAAGCCAAGAGGGGAATGGGCCACGCCTCTGCCTTCTCTGCCTCCGGTTCCGAGCCACAGCCTTTCAGCGAGAGGAGCTTATGAAGATGAAGGTGAAGGACCTGAGGGACTATCTCAGCCTCCATGACATCTCTACTGAAATGTGTCGGGAAAAAGAAGAACTGGTGTTCTTGGTGCTTGGCCAGCAGCCTGTGATTCCTGAGGAGGACAGGACTCGTGTCCCCACCTTGTCCCCAGACTTTCCCGAACAGCAGGCCTTTCTGACCCAGGCTCACACCAGCACAGTACCTCCTACCTCGCCTGGCCTCCCATCTTCACCTGTACAAACCACCTCTGTTCCCTCAGTCCAGGCTCAGGAAAATCAGCAGGTACCGGCTGGCTTGCAGTCCCTGCACCTTTGAGCTTGCTCCAAGGGTTCCTACTACATTGTGGGAATGGGTTATGAGGTGAAGTGTCTGCATGATGTGAAGCCTTGCTGCTTGTTGACACAGGAGGTGGTATTTCCTGGACATTAGGCTCACATTTTGACTTCAGGGATGATGTGCCTGGTACCATGTTTTTATGTTGTTTGTTTGTAATGCCTTTGTTACCACACTTAGACTTAAACATTCATTGCTCCAGAAATATTTTTAGGAAAGTCACCATTAACTCTCTAAATTTAGTTCTGTTCAGATTTGTCCTCCAGCTTACTATCCCTCTGTCTGATATTCTTTACCTGAGGAGAAAGGGGAGAGATGGGAAGCCCTGCAGCTGTCCTGGCCTGTGTGGAAGCAGCAGTGGTTGGCATGCTGCAGAACTGTAAGCTACGTTATCGTTACCCAGTAATGCCTGGAAATGGTAAACGCATGTTTTGGCTTGGGGAGTCCACAGTGAGTAGACACTGTCTCCACCCTCAGGAAGCCCTGGGAGAGGGAAACTAAGCATGAGAGCCACTCTTGATTCAGGTGGTGTGACACAGATCTACAGAAGCACTTTGCTGACCTGTGATTTATTGGGCTTGGGCATGGTGAGAGATTAGGATCTAGATCTGGATTCCATATCCACTGTTTTGTTTTTTGGTGCTAATGATCAGCCCCAGAACTTTGAGCATGCTGGGCAAAGTGGTCTCTACCACTGAGCTACACCACCAGCCCCATTTTTGTTTCTGACTTGGGTCTTCCTAGGTTACAGAGAGGCTCAACTACCATAGTATCTTGCCTAAGAGCACGGGGCTGCTCAGAGCTGGCATGGTGCTGTGCTGTCCTTTCCCACACCTGACATAGATTGCTGTGTCCCTTGTTTATGGTCACCTTTGCCAGGACTGGCCCCTGTTTCGGCTCTTGACAGATACTAAGCACAAAAGCCAACATGATAACATAATTTAGCTATGCAGCAATCATTAAACTCCCTGGTTGGCCTGAGCATGTTTTTCTCTTCAGCTGCTTGTTAATTCTTTCATAAGCTCTAGATCTTTATCTTTTGGACAGGTTTCACCTCTTGGCATATATTCCATTTTTTGCTTGGTTTTTAGAACATTCCTGTTCATCTATGGGAAACAAGGAGAGGAACCTGAGATATTTTTTTTTAATTATTTTTATTTTATGTGTATGAGTGTTATGCCTGCATGTAAGTAAGTGCACCCGTGTCGTGCGGTGCCCGCAGAGGACAGAAGAAGCTGTCAGATGCCCTGGAACTGGAGTTATGGACAATTGTTAGCTGCCATGTGGGTGCTGGGATTCGTGTTCTTAACCACTGAGCCATCTCTTAGCCCCCAAGATATTATTTTTCAATAAAGAACCTTCAGGCAGGTCAGGTATGATGCCACACACCTGAAATCCCAGCACTTGGGAGATGGAGGCATGAGGATCAGAAATTCAAGGCCAGCCTGGGCTACATGAAACACTGTCTCAGATAGATAGATAGATAGATAGATAGATAGATAGATAGATAGATAGATAGATAGATAGATAACACTGTCTCAGATAGATAGATAGATAGATAGGTAGATAGATAGATAGATAGATAGATAGATAGAT